CATTTCATGCGTCACCAAGCACACCGGTTGCTATTCCTGGCTCGCTTTGACTTCCGCATCATACATAAAGCCGGGACATCGAACGAAAGGCCAATGCCCTGTTCCATCAGCCAGACCATCAGATCGGCGATGAGGACGATAACACCGATCAGGTGGTTTTCAAGCCGGATCGCTTCCGCATCGCCTCCGCCAGGCGCGGTCATGCCTCGGTGACGGCCGATCAATTGCTTCTGAAGTGCATCAGGGAATGTTCAGAGAAGGATTGGGAGGTGGCCGAGGCACTCGAAAAGGTGCAGGACCTCGGGCCACCACGGCTGCAAAGGGGCTTTGAGGAGTGGAATGCTGAACAAGGGCGTCTGTTGTTCCGTGGATGTGTATATGTCCCAAAGAACGCGGAGCTCCGGCGGGATATCGTCAAGATCCACCACGACTTGCCAATTGCCAGACATGGTGGTCGTGCCAAAACCCTGGAGCTCGTGTCACGGAACCACTGGTGGCCAGGAATGTCTAAATTTGTCAATGAGTATGTAAGCACCTGCGACGTGTGCAACCGTACCAAGACATTCCCAGCTAAGCCCCAGGGTCCGCTGAAGCCGAACAAGATCCCCGAGCGCCCATGGCAGATCATCACCACCAATATGATTGTTGGCTTGCCAAAGTCTGATGGGTTTGACTCGATCCTGGTCATCGCTGACCGCTTTACCAAGCAGGTCCACTTCTCGGCCTGTCATGAGACCCTGACGGTAGAAGGTGTGGCAGACCTGTACATCTGCGATGTGTTCAAGCATCATGGGGCCCTGGCCAAGGTCATATCAGACCGAGGTCCCCAGTTCGCTTCAAAATATCTCCACGTGGTGTACAAGGGACTAGGGATCGAGCCGGCACTGTCTACAGTGTTCCACCCTCAGACAAACGGCCAGACTGAGCGCTGGAATCAGGAGATCGAGCAATACCTGCATGCTTTCACCAGCCACAGGCAGGATGATTGGGCGAAACAGTTGCCGCTCGCGGAATTTGCACTGAACAACCGAGTCCACTCTGCGACTGGGCATTCCCCATTCTTCCTGCATCAGGGGTACCATCCTGAGATCCAAGTGCGGATCAATCCGATGTCTGCAATGCCTGCGGCCACTGATTTGCTCGAGATCTTGAAGGAGATTCACAACAATATACGCTCTGCACTTGAGCTGTCAGCTGAGCACATGAAGGTGTACTATGACAAGCACGTACAGGAGGCACCGGTCTTCGCACCGGGGGACAAGTTCTGGCTTGACGCTTGGAACCTTAAGCTGAAACAACCGAGCAAGAAGCTCAGTCCCAAGCGCCTTGGACTGTATGCCGTGCGGCGAAAGCTCAGAGATTTAGATTATGAATTGGTTCTGCCAAAGTCGGTGCCGGTGCACCCGGTGTTTTATGTCTCTTTGCTGAGCAAGTACATGTGTAGCGATATCCCGGGCCGGGAGCCAGAGGAGCTGCCTGCGATCGAGGTTGAGGGTGATGAGGAGTACGAGGTTGAGCGGATCAAAGATTCAAGGATCTTCCGGCATCAACTGCAGTACCTCGTCAAGTGGAAGGGTTATGATGACTCGCATACGTCATGGGAACCGGCGCGCAATGTTGCCAATACTCTGGCCCTCATAGCCAACTTTCACCGGAAGAATCTGAATGCCCCTCGCTGCCTCAACGCTGTTACCTTTGATGGTCTCAATTTTCAGCCAATGCCTTTGCTGCTGACTGAAGCACGCTGCCGCTCCGGGTGGGAGATGGGCAAGGGCACCTCGCATGAGGTCATGCACCGTTGAGGGGGGGGTAATGTCACAAGTTGGTACGGCGTCTAGCCGTTTTTTAATTTTTTTTCTTTTCGCGGGCTCGAACCTGCGACCTCTGTACTATACGCTTGAATGGACAAGTCGTTATCTACTGTACAATCAGATTAGATAGGACAGCAGTGCACGGCACAGCTCGGGCTCCGCTGATACAGCCGCTCTGACTCACCGGCCTCCGGGGCCGTGTCGGCATGCTGTGCACGGACCAGTGCGCACAGCCTGCCCTTATCCTCCCCTGTATATAAGCTGGCCTCTACTGCCCTAGGGACCTCAGTTTCGACCTCTTGTCCCTAGGTCAGTAAGCTCTCATGTATCTGCTTACTTACTTATACTAACTAATACATTTTCTTATCCCTAGCCTTAGGTTTGAGCCTTGCTCACCATCGCTGTGGTGAGAACCAGTCGAATGCCCCTCGCCTTCAGATATTCCCCTGTCGCTTGACCTCAAGTCGTGACAAATCTGGATTTTCAGCTCGATGGAAGAGAGGGTCGTGTTGATCGCCCAGTAGATGAGCAACTGCGAGATGAAGTGGTTGCATTCGACCACCGACTTCCCATCATATCGGAGTGGGAGGAGGAGCTTCAACATCTCCTTATTAAAGGCGGTGGCAGAGGACATTATCAGCGACGAGTGGGACAAAGGACTGCCCGCAGATGGAGGCAACTGTTGTCGCGACTTGAGGTCAAGCGACTAGAGAAAACTTGAAGGCTGGGGGCGTCCGACTAAGTCTCACCGAAGCGATGGTGAGCTATGCTCAAACCTAAGGCTAGGGGCAAGAATGTATTAGTTAGTAAGTAAAAGAAGTAAGTACAGGAGAGCTTACTGACCTAGGGACAAGAGGTCGAAACTGAGGTCCCTAGGGCAGCAGAGGCTGGTTTATATACATGGGAAGATTTAGGGCAGGCTGTGCGCGTTGGTCTGTGCGCAGCTGGTCCGTGCGCAGCATGCCGACGCGGCCCCGGGGGCCGGTGAGTCAGAGCGGCTGCGTCAGCGGGGCCCGAGCTGTGCCGTGCACTGCCGTCCCATCTAATCTAATCGTACAGTAGATAACGACGTGTCCATATCAGGCAGGTAGTACAGAGGTCGCGGGTTCGAGCCCGCGAAAGGGAAAAATTAAAAAACGGCTAGGCGCCGTACCAAGTCGTGACATTACCCCCCCCTCAACGGCGCATGACCTCATGCGAGGCGCCCTTGCCCATCTCCCACCCGGAGCGGCAGCGTGCTTCAGTCAGCGGCGAAGGCATTGGCTGAAAGTTGAGACCACCAAAGGTAGCAGCATTGAGGCGGTGAGGGGCGTTTGGGTTCTTCCGGTGGAAGTCGGCTATGAGGGCCGGCGCATTAGCAACATTGCGCGCCGGTTCCCATGACATATGCGAATCGTCATAACCCTTCCACTTGACGAGGTACTGCAGCTGACGCCGGAAGATCCTCGAATCCTTGATCCGCTCAACCTCGTACTCCTCGTCGCCCTCAACCTCGATCGCAGGCGGCTCCTCCGGCTCCCGGCCCGGGATATCGCTACGCGTGTACTTGCTAAGCAAGGAGACATGAAACACTGGGTGTACCGGCACCGACTTCGGCAGGATTAATTCGTAATCCAGGTCTCCGAGCTTTCGCCGCACGGCATAAGGTCCGAGGCGCTTGGGACTGAGCTTCTTGCTCGGCTGTTTCAGCTTAAGGTTCCGAGCGTCAAGCCAGACCTTGTCCCCCGGTGCGAAGACCGGTGCCTCCTGTACGTGCTTGTCATAGTACACCTTCATGTGCTCAGCTGACAGCTCAAGTGCAGAGCGTATATTGTTGTGAATCTCCTTCAAGATCTCGAGCAAATCAGTGGCCGCAGGCATTGCAGACATCGGATTGATCCGCACTTGGATCTCAGGATGGTACCCCTGATGCAGGAAGAATGGGGAATGCCCAGTCGCAGAGTGGACTCGGTTGTTCAGTGCAAATTCCGCGAGCGGCAACTGTTTCGCCCAATCATCCTGCCTATGGCTGGTGAAAGCATGCAGGTATTGCTCGATCTCCTGATTCCAGCGCTCAGTCTGGCCGTCTGTCTGAGGGTGGAACGCTGTGGACAGCGCCGGCTCGATCCCTAGTCCCTTGTACACCGCATGGAGATATTTCGAAGCGAATTGGGGACCTCGGTCTGATATGACCTTGGCCGGGGCCCCATGATGCTTGAACACATCGCAGATGTACAGGTCTGCCGCACCTTCTGCCGTCAGGGTCTCATGACAGGCCGAGAAGTGGACCTGCTTGGTAAAGCGGTCAGCGGTAACCAGGATCGAGTCGAATCCATCAGACTTTGGCAAGCCAACGATCATATTGGTCGTGATGATCTGCCACGGGCGCTCGGGGATCTCGTTCGGTTTCAGCGGACCCTGGGGCTTGGCTGGGAATGTCTTGGTACGGTTGCACACGTCGCAGGTGCTTACGTACTCATTGACAAACTTGGACATCCCAGGCCACCAGTAGTTTCGTGACACGAGCTCCAGGGTTTTGGCACGGCCGCCATGACCGGCGATCGGCGAGTCGTGGTGGATTTTGACTATATCCCGCCGGAGCTCCGCGTTCTTTGGGACGTACACGCACCCGCGGAACAGCAGAAGCCCTTGTTCAGCATTCCACTCCTCAAAACCCCTTTGCAGCCGGGGCGGCCCGAGGTCCTGCACCTTTTCAAGTGCCTCGGCCACCTCCCGATCCTTTTCCGAACATTCCCTGATGCGCTTCAGAAGCGACTGATCGGCCGTCACCGAGGCATGACCGCGCCTGGCGGAGGCGATGCGGAAGCGCTCCGGCTTGAGAACTACCTGATCGGTGTTATCGTCCTCATCGCCGATCTGGTGATCTGATCGTCGCGACAGGGCATCAGCCTTTCCATTCGACGTCCCGGCTTTGTGCGTGATGCGGAAGTCGAAGCGAGCCAGGAACAGTGACCATCGCGCTTGACGACGCGTGAGGTGCTGTGACGTGCGCCAGTACTCGAGATTCTTATGATCGGTCACGATCTCGAACTGATGGGGTAGGCCCTCGAGATAGTGGCGCCAGTCGTCCAGTGCTTCGATGATCGCGAGCATCTCCTTATCGTAGATCTCGTAGTTCCGCTGTGCTGGGTCCATCGCATGGGATCTGAAGGCAATAGGATGCCATTTGCCATCGTCCTGCTTCTGCATCAACACGCCGCCAGTGGCATATCCTGAGGCATCGACCTCAATGCGCGTCTCCCGATTGGGATCGTACAGTGCTAGGACTGGAGTCGTCGCGAAGAGCCGTTTGAGCTCGTCGAAGGCGTGCTGCTCCTCTTCGCCCCAATGCCATGGGTCGTTTCCTGTGAGCCGGTCGAGTGGTCGCGAGATCTTAGCGAAGTCTTTAATGAAACGGCGGTAGAAATTGGAGAACCCCCGGAACTTCTGGACATCCTTTTTGTTCTGGGGTACCGGCCACTCATTAATTCCTTTTAGCTTCGCGGGATCCATCGCTACCTTATCGCCACCGAACACATAGCCGACATAGTCGACCTTGGGAACGTCCCATTCACATTTCTCAGGCTTCAGGAATAGATCATTATCCTGAAGGCGGCGCAGAACCTCGCGTGTGACCTTCTCATGCTCCTCTTTATTGGTGGAGAAGATGAGTATATCGTCCAGGTACACAAGGATCTTGCCGCCGACGATGAGATCGTGGAAGATCTCATTCATCATTGCCTGGAAAGTGGCGGGGGAGTTGGTGAGGCCGAAGAACATCACTAGGGGTTCGTACAGCCCCCGGTTAGTCACAAAGGCCGCCTTCCATTCATCACCGGCCTTGATCCGGACGTTGTTGTATCCCCATCGGACATCGAACTTGGTGAAGAGCGTGGCACCGCGGAGCTTATCTACCATCTCGACGATCAGCGGCAAAGGATAGCGGTTTTTAACAGTGATCGCATTCAACCGGCGGTAGTCCTGCACGGGTCGAAGTGTTCCCTCTTTCTTTTTGATGAAGAAGAAAGGGGACGAGATGGGTGACTTCGACTCCCGTATGTAGCCTTTCGCCAACTGCTCTTTTAGGAACTTGTCCAGTTCCTCTTGTTCGTTGTTCGACAGGGGATACACCTTCGAATGGAACGTCGAGTAGCCGGGTACGAGTTCAATCACGTGATCGTAAGGCTTCCTTTCAGGCAGCCGTTCTGATGCTTCCTTGGAGAAGACATTCAGGAACTCGTGGTACTGTTTAGGTACCGACTCCTCGGCGGTTTTAACGACCTTCTTCTTGATTTCTTCTTCAGCGAACAGCTGGGAATATGTGTGCCCTGCTGCGACGAACAGCTGAGGGGCGCCGGGAAGCGTG